TCCCCCCCCCCCCCCCCCTATTCTACAAACGGGGAGGCTCGCCTCGAGGTCCAACCCCTTACCCTTTTGCCTTTACCTTTACCCCTTTCATATACCTTAATTGAAAATAGGTAACCCTTTTGCATTCGCAAGTCGTCTTGTCATTTTCATGTAGAATCCAATAAATGAAATGATACAGCCATTTTGTGCGTCTGTTCGAATTGTTTGAATTGAAAGCCCCTTAAAATAACCACATGACAGATCTCCCTTTCATATACCTCAAATTGTAAAATCCCTGCCCTTTCATATACCTGACGCATGAAAATGGTACCCCTTTCGGGCGGAGCTTCCCCATATAAGCCATGATAGGGAGTGCCCCCCTCCCCTCCGGAGGGGGAAAATCGGAAGAAACGCCAACAACACGAACACTAACTGAGGATCGAATGTTGAAAACAAAGGTTATAAAGACTCACCATGCCAGCATTTGTGGAGTCACCGCCTTCTGGGGTTCTAAGCTGTGAACAATAAAATAGCATACTCAAGAAAAAATATCAAGATAGGACATAAGAGAGGCAACGTTTCGGCTTGATGCCGTTCTTCTACATAATTACGAACCCAAAAATAAATAAATAACGTAATTCAAATGTCGAATGTATCTAGCACTGTTGTGCTAATTGGGAACACTGTAAATAAACAAACAAATATTGCAACTAGAACACAAATTATTATGAATCCCAACTGGTAGGAGACTGACCAGGTGGTTATTTACACAACGCGGTCGAGGAGTTGAACTCGGGACAACCGAGAATAAATCCAGATCAGGAGCATTAGGGTGGAGGATTTGAACCAGGGATCTCCAGATCTAAAATCCAGCGCCCTAAACTACTCAGTCACGCCGCCTCCGACAAGACGAAAGAGTTGGGAAGGATTCCTATCTTTTTTCCTCGCATCAACATTAAATGCCTTCCGTCCTCCTTTTTCAATGTTGAGGTCTACCAAAAGACTTCAATAACACTACATAGCTCAGTTAAACTTTAACATTGATAAGTGGGAGAGGGAGGACAATTGAAAACCTCATGAGTGGCATACGTATTTGTACTGTATTGTATTTTGTACTTTTATATTTCTCCACTTGACGATATAAGTGTAGCATTTTTGAAAATAAGTGAAAGGAAAGTGGAAAGCTGAGGGAAATACTATAGCAAAATCACACGGTATTTTTACAACCATTCATTTTACTTTTGTCATCGGTTATAGAAAGTTAGAAAATACTAAATAAATGTAGTAGTAGAAAGTTTGCCAAGCTTTGCCTTGGAATGGGGATAATTTGATTAGACTAGGAATTACGATTAGTACGACTACCAGAATTAGACATACTATGGAGAATTAGTAGAATTCTACTAGTGTACTAATGCAAATGCTGTAATCTGATTGGCTGAACCATTGAACACTATCAGCCATTAGAGTGCAGTGGCTGGAGGTCATCTAGGAAATGGCGACATTTTTTCGATTTTCCAAAGTTTTGGAGGAAGATTTTGATGCAAATGGATAATTAAATTCCTGAGAAGTCTAAACGAAGGACATTTACGGTTTCTTGACTTTTAAAAAAGTTGAAATTATTGAAAAAACTGATGCTTGCGCGCACACAACTTCAATTTTAAATGAGAATTCAATCCGAGCGACCATTTTCAGGCGCAAAGTTTAATAATACGTCAAGAAAATAACTGGAAACCGTTATTTGAAGTAAATTTTAGTAAGAATACTACTAAAACAATTAGATTATTCGCTCTCGATTTCTATGAGGTGAAAGTTGATTCAGCCTTCGGCCTCATCAACTATCACCTCATAGAAATCTCGAGCTCATAATCTAATTGTTAATTAGAAAATTATAGAACGATTAATACAACATCGACGTATCATTTATCTTTTAAATCGGAGACACTTACTAAAGTACTTCTGTAGAGGGCGGACTTTGTGTTGCTTTGAGGCTGAGGATCGTCAAGGAAACCATAGCGCTGCTGTGAGATCTAAAATTCAACGACAGAGTATTGCCAAGTTACGTTTGGTATCACTGGAGGAAAACCCTATTTATCAGCTACAATGGCACAAAAACAACTTCACTTGTTAGCTTACCTATTGAACCTTCTTTAAAATAACATAGCCTTTCAGCTATGTTAGGAACACCCTAGTACTCAAACATCCATCATTATCGCCCTCATCGGTATCATTACTTTTGTAAATATTATTATAACTAACTACTTATTAACCGAAAGTGAGGTCTTTACTGTAGAATCTCAAACCGAGACCTGGCCGTATTGACCAAGCGATAGCGTGGTCAATACAGCAAGGCCGAGGCTTCAGATTTTCCCCTTAAGACCGACTGTTCGAGGTTGATAAGTTGTTTATTACATGGCTTTCTGCTTTGTGTTTGCAGGCCAGTAATTACAGGAGAATGATTCCGTAGATTTAGCCAACTAGAGCTCGCGTTATATCGACTGCAAACACAAGCCATATGATAAATTGACTGAACAGTATCTATTAATTGAAATATCTGAAGTTATCCAACAAACAACACAGAAAAAAGTGCTGTATGTTACGCACACTGAGAACCAAGCCAGATCGGTGATAATATAAGCCCCGTGGTTTATTGAGCACTTAATGACTGGCCCCAAAGGAAACAGTGAGTTTTTTCTCCAAGAGACCCTCGTCCATTGAGATCGAGAGGAAACAAAACTCACTGTTTCCCGCGGGGCTAGTCATTAAGTTTTTTTATATACCTCCCAACTCAAAAATAGAGAGAAAAAAAAAAAGCGAAAAAAATCATTTGCTTGACGCCGGCTGGCACACAAGTTTGCCGCGGTTTCAAAGAGCACGACATGATCACGTTCGAGTCAAACATTTAAGTTGTTGTTTCCCTGCGGAGTTAGTGAGTTTTAACCCATGACACGTGACACGTTATCTTCCAATCGGAAAACGTATTTGAGTTGGGAGATATAACAAAATGTATTGACCCTCATAATCTTTGTCCTGATCAGACAGAAAGAGACTCGCAGTCTCACGTAACATGTTAAGGAACGTCTTATGAGGACACCACATACTTACCAATCCGGAGAGATCGGCCTGTGAGAACAAAAAAATTCAGAGCAAAGAACGTTAATGTTTCTAGCCTTGTTCTAGTAAAACGTTTAGTAAATGAAAGAATATAAAGAAGAAAGGCAGAATAAATCATTCCATTCTCGTCCCCAGAGTCACCTATCCCTCTTAGCCGGCGGGGCCTTGGTACGAGGAACAGGTGGCTCTTGCGACACACGATATGATTGGCTAGATTCTTGGACTAAGCTTTTCACTGCAGTTCTTTCCAGACAAGAAAGAAGATATGGACAAAGTCAGACTGACAAAGGAGGACCTACAAAAGGGAACACTTAGAGAAACGGATGTGCAAAAAAAATGAAGGGCTAGCACGCCGCGTTACGTAATGTCAGAATGACGTCAACTGGGATAACGCAAGGATCATAACTAAGAATAGAGGATTAGGACAAAAAAGGTTCACTAGCTAGGGAATCGAGTCATTACGTGTAAAAAAAAACACCGTGGCATGAGATTACTGAACAATCTTGGCCTCCTCGAGGCATGGAAACCTACTCTAGCTCTTTTGACCGTGACAAACATCGTATTTTTTCCATGCATTTAAGGTGATATACCGCATTGATGTAATATTCCTGATGTGACTATTAAGTATGTATTCTCGCGAATTTTTTTTTCCATGACTTTTGACATTTCGCGTAGCTGCGGCTGTGCGTAGGAGAATTTTAAAGATCACTTCCGCTAAACTATCACCAACTCACCGGAGGTCCAGGGGGACCGGGCGGGCCTGAGGGTCCCTAAATGAAAGAAAGACACGTTTCATGAGCTGTTAAATTAAAGTCTGGGCACACTCGGGGAGATTTTACCAGTATCTGGGGGATTTTGTCAACTTGAGTATCACGAATGCAAGACAAGCGCGATCTAAGGTTTGAAGGCACACTTGTCCAACAAATAAAACATGAAAGAAGCCATAGACTTATGATTTAGAGAAATTTAAAGACAAAATAAGTTGGTCGAAAACGCTTATGCAAAATTACCTGAAGGCCGTCTCGCCCCTAAAGATAGGAAAGAAAAAGGTAAAAAATAATAAGTGGTATCAACAGTTTAATAGTAGGGAAATTAACTCAACAGAATGATGCACAACATATATAAAGAGCTTCCGCAAAACTACAGGTGGATTCAGGGAAAAAAGATTCATTAAAATATTTGGCCTTTGCATACTTTACCTGTGGTCCCGCTTTTCCCTTTAAAGAAATTGAGAAAAAAAAGCGTTCGGTTAACATAGTGATCTTTAGTTCCGTTGACTCTGTACTTAGACAACATTACTATCACTGCACACACATTTTCTAATCACTGCATGTCACAGCGTCACAGATTACGATGTGTATGATTTAAGGACGTTCGCTTCCATCGTTACCGCGCATCCTCTTTGCGCGCAAAATTCATTTTTACGATAACTGCAGAAATTTTAGTGGCTCATTGGCTAATTTTCATTGTCAATAAGCGGACGGACGCATGAATTTATAATTTATGCGATGCGTGAACGAGCGAGTGTGGACAATTTGACAATTTGTTATTGTAAAACAAATTGACGTGAATTTTTCGAGAATGAATTTTGTCATAACATTGTCAAATAGCCGAGTGGATCTAGTTTAGTCAAGATTCATGGTCAAAATTCATGATCAATAACAGGACAGACGCATGAAAAACTGACGTAAATTTGTTAAGTCGCAACGTCACACACGTCATACAGCAAGGGCGCGCGCTACGGCAGAAATATAAGCAAGTATAGGGCTTGTCACCGGGTGCGCTAACTTTGCCTGCAATTTACTCTCTTGGTTGCTTAGTGACCCCCATTTTTCTTTCCGTAAATCTATTCCTTTCTCGATTTTATTTATTTTAATCAAAAAAAAAAAAAAAAAAAAACGGGAAAAATCTGTATGTAAGAAGTTACAAATATTTCGCTTTTTCTGCTCTCATGTGAGCGGAAGTTTTCTTCGAATGTGGAAGGGCAAGGCTTATATTTATTCTTTTTCCAGGCCTATCCTACCTCAAGGAACAACATGAGCTCCAAAAGTTTACTTAGTATACTTAGTTGTGTTGAATTGAGTAGGTATACCCTTCTAAATTTCTCTAATGTAGCTTTTTTAATGGCCAATAGTTGTAAGCTTACATTGCCTTAAAATAACGAAAATCTCTAAAAACGGATGGTCCTAATTAACGAGCCTTATCTCGAAAACGAGCGCGGTGACACCCCATTTTGGGAGGGCTTTTTGGCAAAAGTTGATCTTTACCTTACTTCGTAGTAAGTTTTAAAAAAAATCTGTCCGTGGGAACATTTTGGGCGCGAACGTCCTTGACTTGCAAGTCTGACTTAATTAGCTCACTAATAAAACACACAAAAACTTTTCATACTTTGTCTCCAATGAGTCCTAATGAGCCAGACAGACCCTGAAAAGGTTTTAAAACATCAATACTTCATACAGCGTCTCTATTCATAGCCATATCCATAAAGTACATACAGTAAGTTGATAAACAAAGAAAAATAAAAGTAGTTTCACACAATCAAAGGAGTGCTCGATACAAATACATACAGAGCGAAACACAGATTGAGATAGAAACTATAGTTACTCGAGTTTGACGCTCAAAGCGATCATCAGACTGTGCCCTTAGCAGCGGTTGAAACAAAATTCAAACTGACTCATGGAAGGTACGCAGTGATCCTGTGTCTGATTGGCTGCATAGAACTTATTCTCGTGCCTGCATTTTGTTACAAGTTCAGATCTTTTGTTTAGAAGCGTAGATTTGTCGTAGATAGTAAGTTGATATGAAACTGAATATAGTGTTTGCCAAAATGCAGCAATAGTAACTGATTAAGCTTTGCTTTTCTTCACGACTGCTCAAGGGTTCAAGATCTAAAAGAGATAAACTTAAATTCAAGAGAAAATGATAATTTTTCAAACAACAGTCCTAAAGACAAAGTGAACAAAATAGTTTCGTTCGGCGACAGAAACAAAGAGAGAACAATTACTAAGCTAGATTTTTACACAAGCAACGAAAGTGCTGCCTAACAGCAGGTATTAAATTGGTTTCATCCGTAAACGTTAATTTCATCCGTAAAGTTAGATCTACACCAAGTGGAAACTGACTCTGGAACTGAAACGATTCAGCGATCCTTTTATCACTCGCATGTTTTTACACAGTCAGGTGGCATGTAACACACGGCTTTTACTCACAATAGCTCCCTGCCGTCCGGGAGTTCCCTGGCTTCCTCCTATGCCATCTGGACCCTAAGGATCCAAAGTGAAAAAGGTATCCTGTAAATGCTATTCAGACCGGGAGTTTTTGGTACGCCGTGAAATGTATCCTGTGAGCCCAACAAAAAGACATGGCGATGTCATGTGACATTAGAATTACGTCATGATGACTGGGAAGCCGCTATCTAGGGGTTACAATTTTAAATTTCTCAATATTTAACATGGTGTCAAAAAGCCGCCAAACTGCAACTAAAGTAATCTGAGCTAATATAAAGATGTTTCAGAAACACTGAAAATGTGAAAATTTCTACAAGAAATGAAAACATTATTCCATTACGCAAATTTGTTCCGCAAGTTGTGGCTAAGTTTTTAATTGTGAAACGCGATTCCTAATTTGGCAATTTCAACTCGTCCTCTCCTTGATTTCTCGTAATCTGCTGACAAACAGTCGTTCAGAATTAAAAGAGGTTCCTGACGGCCCTGCGAGGAAGGTCTAGAATTCATCGCAACAAATACAAGGATGGCTGTACAAAAGCGAAAAGAATTGTCACATTCTGATTGGTTGATTGTTTGTAAACTTAAGACTAAACCATGAACCCTGCTTGGCTATAACTATAGTTAGTCTGCAATGTTTTGGATCACCGAGACGTAAATTTTCTAACTATAGTTAGAACGAACAGAGAAGCGGTCCATGAGTTTTTTTCCTTTTTATTGTAGTTCATTTTATCTAGAGAAATGAAAACTGAAACTTATCAAAACTCAAATGGAATTTGGCAACTTGATCGAACAAATTTGAAGTTGCTTCCAGCAAGCTCTCGATCAATATTAGGACACTGAGTTTCCATCAAAAGAACATCCGGTTTGACACAACGCCCATAATAAAATTATCCACTAAAGAACAGGCCTAGGGTGCCATGACTAAATATATTTTGAAAGGGATCATTTGGCCTATATGGGAGATTTAATATCTTACCCATTATCCTATCTTGGTATTGAGAAAACGTTTAAAAATACTTTGTGAATAGGGTTCTTGAAAGGTACGTTTAACACAAACATTTCACCTGCTCTCCAAGTTGTCCCATTGGTCCCGGGAGACCGATTTCGCCTGGGGGGCCCTGCATGAAGTAGTGAAATGTCAGAAATAGCATGGATAAAGACTAAAGGAATAAGAGTGGGGTGAGTGACTCAGCTATTCTCTGTCCAGTCTTGGAGATGTTAAGTAATATATCAAATACGATAGACCGTGTTTGACCATATTTTCAAACACTCAGAAGAGAGTTGAAAATTCGACGCCTAGCGGAGTACTTTTGACGACCTTCGAGGTGTTTGGAAATGTGGTTAAACACTGTCTTGAATGTTTGTTATATCTTCTAAATCGAAACTAAAAATAAAGAGGAAACGGAGAAATAAAATCATAAAAATCCATGCTAATTAAGATCAGATATCCAAACACCGTCACGTTCATAATTTTCTTTGCTGAGACTTGATGAGTTGTTAATGAGTTTGAGGAAATCTGCAGGTCTGCAGTAGCTGTGATATCAGTGCATTCAACAGGACCGTTAGATGCACTATACTATACTACCTTGCTATAAGAATCAGTCTTATTGGCAGTAACCCAAGAACATTTACCCCTGTGCAAGTTTAGAACCTTGAGACTGTTGAATGAAGTTCCGACATGAGCGCATGTAGACTTCTAAAAGTTTCAAGTCAACCCTAAATGACAATCCACACGCGACAACAGAGCCACATCGATTAAGATAGTTTGACGAGTACAGAACTACTTAGGGTAGAAAAATACTGAATTTGAAGAACACAGTGCTACTTCGGGTAGAGAAATACTGAATTTGAAGATCACAGTGCTACTTTGAGTGGCAAAATACTGAATTTGAGGTATCTAAGGGGTAATAGAATTTATAAAGTATGACGTCACTTACCTGTGGACCATCAAATCCCATGGGGCCTTGCTCGCCTCTACCACCTCTGTCACCCTGTAAATGCAACGGATTTTAAGTCACGTGAAGGTCTAATGAACATGAAAATAAAGCGGAGTTCAGGGAAGTTTTGACTCTTCCGGGCAAAGTTTCAATGAATATAAAATCCGGTCGAGTTTAGAGCAAGTTTTGAATGCAGACTAAGGACATAAATAAGCTTGACATTAGTTTTTCGATACGATGTATTTAGTAAACCTCTACAAAACAACAACACGAACGAAACATTGAATTACGACGAACACTTTCTTTTATATTGCTTTTATGTTTGTACTTTAACTACACTTGCTACTTGCTGTACTTGCTTGCTATGGGGCATGTAAGCTAAGGCCGATTATGTACAAGGGGTAACGTTGCCCGCGCACTGCCATACGGGACGGGACGGGACGGGATGGGATGCTGTAAAGCAAGGGTTACTCCCTACGTTTTGTCAGTTTCCCCTTACAGTTTGTCGCAACAATGAATAATCAAATTATCTGGGCTCAAAAGAGACACTGAAAGTAAAGCACATGTTCCCGATTAGCATTGTAACCAGGACCCTCTTGATCAAGAATGTAACGCTGCGTTGGTAAGGAACCGTATTTTAGCGTTAGCTCGCTGATTGCTACGCGGCGTACCAAATACCAAGTGTATCGGTCACCAATCTGTAGTATTCACCATCGCGTACATCTCCACTTTGTACTAAGACACCACCAGTCGCTCCTCGAAAGTAGCGATCTTCCGAAAGTGACGGCTCATAAACCATGAGAGAAGGAAGCTACTAGAAGAAAGAAGCTACTAAGAAGAAGGAAGCTACTAGAAGGAATTCCAGACTGACGTGATGTTTGTTTCAACAACATGTTAAAAGTAAAATAATTTCTAAACAATTTTTGTGGCGATAAGAAATGGCTCAAGTCTCAAAGTAACGAGGGTCGTTACTTTCGGAAATATACAGTAGTATCACGTGACCTTTTCTCCCGATATTCCTTTCTCGCCAGCTTCTCCCTGTTCACCAGTCTCTCCCTGTAAAATAAAGAATTTCCGCCTCGTTACTCTCTTTTTTTGTTATTCTTATAACACCGTTTAGTTTTTCAGGCTGAAATATAGTATACAACAAAAATCCAATACTTTAAATCCTAAAATAATACAGAAGTAGAGAAGTTGTTTTTCGTGTTAAACTGATAGGATTGAAATATTCGATCTAATCGATCGCTTGTGGTTGGCATTTAATTTTTTCAAATACGTACCTTTGTCCCCTGTCGCCCAAGCAACCCTGTGTCACCCATCGGTCCATCCAAACCCTTAAAAAGAAAGCAAGGATTGACAGAGCCAGTATAAGTAGCAGCATTTTATAACAAGGAGATGCATTTTTAACGCAGTACAGAGACAAGACACATCTGATTACACAGTAGCCTCGAAAAGTTTACGTAAAACACAAGATATGCTCAACAACAACAAGACAAGTGTGACAATAATCTAGTTACACAGCAACTGATAACACACTACATCCTTAACACTCACGTCACTTCCATAACTTCCCGCGGATCCTCGATACCCGGGGGATCCCGATATTCCTTTGGCTCCTGGTAGACCAGAGATACCTGCCATACCGGTTGACCCAGGAAGGCCCTGAAATAAATAAGATATCAGTTCAACGTTGGTTTCTAATCATGTAACAAGAAGGCGTGGCAGAGCTCGAGTTAGATCGAACGCTGGCCAGTTTACCTTTTCGCCGCGTTTGCCGGTGGCTCCTTTGGGTCCTTTCTTTCCTGGGGAGCCCTAGAAAAGAAATTATCAACAACACAAGAATCACAGAACTGTGTATCAGTTTTTATTAGTACACCACTATATCCACCAAGGTTTATTTTCAAGTCCAACCGTTTTGTTTTGTACCTCATCCGCCTTGTCTCCGCGCTTTCCGTTCCTTCCAGGAGGTCCAATATTGCCCTAACAAATCAAAAAACGAAACTAAAATGCTTTTGTCATGTCGATAAAATAAAACGTAGTTTAAATAATCCAGACAATCGAACCTGTTTTCCCGAAGAGCCATCTTCACCGTCACTTCCTGGGTCTCCTCTTTCGCCCTTTTTAAAAACACATTTTACTATTATTATTAAACACTATTTTATAAATACGAAACAAAAGCTGCATTTCATTACGACAACACAAAGTTACATTTCCAATAATAATAGTACAAGAAATACACATAAAGAAAAACAGCAAACTGGTACAACCCATATCAGTAGTCGATATATGACAATACAGTACACTACAGAGCGCTCAAACTCAACAGGCAACAGTTTGCCAAACCTTTGATCCCTGATTCCCAATCTTTCCAGCTGATCCTCGGCCACCAATCAGTCCCTAAGAGGATAAAAAGTTTAAAGTTCATAACAATTATACGTCTTCATCTATTTACCCTAAAATTCCAAGGAATTCAGCCGCAAACCCTTTGCAAACGCGTTATTGATCTAGTGGTTTCTTCGTCTTACAGTTCCTAATTTCGTTTTTAATTTCATATTGGACCAATATCATGATGTAACTTCTCAGAAACTTTAATTAGTTTAGTTTTAATAACTTCGTTGACCATACGAAGTTAAAACATTCAAATTGAGAAATTCCATAATTTTGATAATCTAACTCCAGGGGTGTTGATTAATTTCCCTATAATTAAAGCAAGATATAATTCTGACACTAAAGCTAAGACTAAAACTTCTATTTTGTGTTACCCTCTATAAATAAAGTTGATTATTATTATTAATAATAATACAGCGGTACCGTAACGACAGATGGCAAGAAAACAAAGAAAGATAACTCACAATTGGTCCTTTATTGCCAGAGGGTCCAACTGAGCCGGGTACCCCCGCAGGGCCCTGTTGAAGTAAATATGGCACTTATGGTTCTCAACACGAACTGCATGATGACTTTCGTAGACGTTTTGGTTATCAACCTGACCGGGTAAACATAACAATAGTATTGCCATATTCCTACCTGGACACCGTTTTGTCCTGCCGAACCAGGGTTCCCAACTGAGCCAACAGAGCCCTAAAATTAAACCCAAACAATTTACGTTAAAAGATGTAAAGAAACATCCGCCGATACAACTAAAAAACAGAAGAGACTTGTACTCTGGTGAACGTGTTAAATACAAAAAGACTTGCCGTCAGAAATATCATCATATTTGACGTAACATTTGAATTTGCAGGATATCCCGACGGAAGCATTGCCATACTGATCACGTGAACTAAACGTCGACGGCAGATTGTTCACTTGGCAAGGGAGGTTATTGCCGAGAGAAGAACTGTCACATGACAGGAGAGCTTATTGACGACAGGAGAAAAGTCACATGACAGGATAGTTTATTACCGACAGGACTGGCACGTGCACAGGAACTTACGGGAAATCCTGATTCACCTTTGGAACCTGGAGTACCAACATCACCGGCAGATCCCTGTCAATGTGACCAAATTAATTAATTAATTAATTAATTAATTAATTATATATAAGTACGTAAGCAATAAGATAAAGGAAAATAAGTAATTATATAATCAATCAGTACTAAAACTCTAATACCATATAATTAATAGGGGGGCATCATCGGAAGATGTTATATATCGTACTTTGATAGTTAACATAGTTAACATTCCGTGCGGGCAGTGAAATGGAGGTTGGCTGGCTTAATTTCCAGAAACATATTAGGGGTTATAACTGGGATTGTAAAGATAGATGTGACTTTTTGTACTCGTACTCGTTCGATAACAAGCAATAAGCCTGCTTACCCTATTACCTCAAGTCCATTTTTTTCACTCGTTCGATCTCAAACGATAAAACACGTCGTTTACCTTCAACCCATTTTGTCCCGGCACGCCAGAAATTCCTTTAGATCCAGGATCACCCTGAAATAGAAAATACTTTTGAAGGTAAAGGCCACAAAAGAATCTATTAAAAAAATCAAGGGTGAACATCGTGATATATCTTCCATGGTTATCACCATTAACATATCCACGTCGTCAGATATTTTAACACATCTTAGAAATTCTCGCCCTTCAGGTTCCTGACATATCCGTATTTTGGGTTACGTACAAAATTACCTTTACATTGAAGGAAAACTGGAAATAGTTGTCTACTACGATAGAAAAACACCAAAGAGATAATAATAAACCATAAAGGAACAAGGATGGTTAAGGATGGAGAAGATTGACACGGATTACAAACGACGAACTTGAAAATTTAAGCAACCCTTTTAACCTTCAGAAGTAAGAAACCATGATCAACGTCTCTTGTCACAAGTTAGAACGCAACCGCGCAACCGCGTACTGTCTGAACTGATATAAGTCTTATCCAAGCTCTCCAAAGGTTCTTACCAATTGTCCAGGCTCTCCCGGAATCCCCTTAGCTCCAGGGAGTCCTGACACGCCCTGTTGAAAGAAAAGAAAGGAACACATAAAACAAATTTTAGGATTGACTTTCAGTGCCATATGACATCAGACATGAAGGCATTTCAGGCCACATTTTGATACTTCCTGAACCTGTAAAGCATATCCAAGCCGCCATATACGGTAGATCAAGGTCAAGATATGTCGGATCTGAGCGCTAGTACAACAGCCTTGTTGACGAGAAGTAGCATTTTGACCAAGGAGGTTCAGTTAATTGAGCACATACAAGTATTTACCGAACCTGTCCATCATAGCTGCCAGCTGCTACCAAACATATTTTGTTCGTGTACAATGTTATTTCAGAATTTGCGCAAGATATGTCGAGCTATGCTAGTCGTTTGATTTGGCTATTCTATCGAGTAACTCGCCAAATAAATATAACAATAAAAAAGAATAAATATTTTCTGAGCTTTAATACAAGCGAGGGAGAACGTGAAGCCGTTTGCCATAGATTTAAGAGGTGTTAGGCGTTCCTGGAAACTTAATCTTATATTTCTTTATTTTGTTGTCATTACAAACCTCTTGACCTCTACTACCAGTTTCTCCCTTTCCACCAGTTGGTCCTGCACTTCCCTGACAAAACAAAAACACAATAAAACCACTGTAATTAATTATTAACATTATTACATTTGTACCTTGTTTAATAATTAGTACACTAGTACTAGTGCATTTCAGATTTGAATTGCTCTATATGACGTTACGAATATGTTTCTGGTTACTGACATTATAAATTCTTTCGCACAATTCAGTTATTTTAGAACTGTGTTCACGTAAGGAGTTGTGTCAAGTAAGCAAAGAAATAATTGTAACCTGTTCTCCTGGTTCTCCTCCTTCACCCAAAGTTCCATCTTCTCCACTCGGACCCTGAATTTCAGTCACAGTGATAAAAAGCATTGGCACACAAATACAGGTCTTCTTTGAGGTTTGAAGTACAAGAAGTACAAGGAGGAAAGGTGGGGACTCTCTGAACAACACTCACTTTAATCTAAACGAGGTGCACGTTGTTTTCAAATCCAGCTTTCAAAATATCAGTTTTGGTTATTACTTACAAACAGCACAGTGGATCGAAGTCAAAGATTAAACAATAAACAAGAAAATTTTCTTACTTTGACTCCTTGAAGTCCTATTGGTCCCTGCAGCCCTATCTCTCCCGTGGGACCCTGGGTAATAAGTACAAACGACAGCTACTTTCTCCTTACAACTCTATGCATTTCCAAGGAGACAGGAAATGAAATTACGACAACAACTTGATTAAGTTGTCTAAGTAAAATAGCTGAGGGTGAAACCCTATACTAATTGGGGACATCTAGAAAAGGAACTATTTACTGCATTAGAGTTAGAATTAAGAATCTGTTAAAGAACGTCATCACTTAAACGGCACTGACACGAAGTCAGCTTAAGGAGATAATCGAGAGAGAAGCTGCAGAGAGAATTGAGAACAAAGCCAGTAAAGTCGTGTGATTTAAATCAACAGAGTTGGTTTGGATAAATAGCCAGCAACCAGCTGTGAGAACGCTGTTAGCATTCACCTCAGTGAATCATTCTCTCTCACCGTTTGACCTCCGTAGCCTGTACGACCTTTTATTCCTGTATCTCCTTTTTCTCCCTAAAACAGAGAGGCACGGTTAATAAGTATGGGTAATCAAATGGTGACGAGTGAAATAAGCAAAGAATTTCACGTGCGTCTTGTCAAAATTCTAATAATTTCCCGAGCCTTTAGGTGAGGGAAATTAGAATTAGAATTTTGACAAAACGTAAGCGAAATTATTTTCTAATTTTATGAGTATACCATTTGATTACCTTTTAATATCGTGGTTGACAAATTACGGTTACAGTTGTGGGCTTTTGACTTGTTTATTTTATTGAGAAAGCTCGTACCAAACGTTGCCAAGGCAATATTGTAATTTGATATGTGATATGAAATTCCGGGCCAAAATTAAAGAGTAAATTGCTCGAAATCCTAAAGTTGTCCAAAAGGTGCCGAGCATCTTAGGGAGAGCGTTATATACGAAGGTACGGACGGAAAAGCCAAAATTTCAGAGCAGGACTGTAGGTTTACAATGTTTTGTAAGGTATGGAGTTCTACTCGCGCGTGCTGAAGACTCGGCTGTGTTATATCATCAGTTCGTGTTGACTCATTTCCAGTTTCTCGCGATAATAGAAATGTACAATCATTGTGAGAGGCTCGATGGCCTCATGGTTGCACTCGTCTCCAGATCGAGTGGTCCGGTTTCGAGCCCAGCCAGGGGACATTGTGTCGTGTTCTTGGGCAAGACACTTTAATCTCACAGTGCTTGTCTCCACCCAGGTGTACAAATGGATACCAGCGAATTTAATGCTGGGGATAACCCTGCAATAGACTAGCATCCATTTAGGGGGAGTAGAAATACTCCTAGTCGCTTCATGCTACGGAAACCGGGATAAGCTCCAGCCTGATGAGCCACTTGGCCTATGCAGACTTAACCTTACCTACCTACAATCATTGACATACAAATTTACACATGGTGTTGAATATCTGGTCGTACCGTCTTTCCTTGAGTTCCGTGCAATCCCGCTAAACCACTATCACCTGGCTGTCCCTGAAATCATAACAGCACCATGAACATAACTTAACACAAGAAAGCATCCTCAGCTGTTAAGGGACTGCAAGAAGGAGTTTCTATTTGCAAGGGGGGGGGGGGGGGNCTGAAACATTCTACGTCTGTAAGTTCCCTGCCTTCTCTTTACATATAGGAACTTTTGTAACGATCTCGAGTACTGACTGTTTACATATACAACTGCACTTATTGGGTTTTTGTATCGTAATTTTCGATTTAGCTTTGTGTTTAGTCAAGATTTCTGTATAGGGTTAGGCCAAACGTCGGACTATACATGAGACGAACTAAACTAAGTGAATTAAGTTCCTCATAAGTTTGACGTTTGACTGAGTTAATCCGAACACGTTTCATCCGTTTGCTTCGGACGGATAGAACTTGTTGGTCGATCTAAATTTAATTAAGTTCGACGTTTGACCCAACGGTCGAGCTTTACCCGTTTCGATCGACTCAAATTGCAGTTTAGTTCGTGTTATGTGAAGTTTGACGTTTGACCTGAGCCTTAAACCCAGCTGTTTAGTACTTTTTATCTTAGCATATTTATTTTACACGAACCACTGAAAACAATACTTGTGACGTGGGCACCCTGTTTAAATATCTTTATCAAGTTCATCCGAAAGAACATAGTCAAGCACATTAATAAATAAGAGGTTACCCTGTTTCCTTGGTCACCGGTTTCCCCTTGCTTTCCATTTTCACCTCTTGCTCCCTAAAATATAACAACTTAAACATGTTAATAACAATGTAAGAAAATTAAAGTAGAGCGGTATATTGACAGTAGAAAGTAATCAAGTTAAGACCAAGTGTGACCTGCCGTAAGGGGGTAGAGTGGGTTCGTGTTCTCTCGGCTTTATCCTTTCTTTGTAAACCCGCTCTAACAAGGAATAATACCTTTTCTCAATTTTTTTTTTTTGCAGGTCAGTCTTTACAAACGTGGACGAATTTTAAATTAGGTATTGGTATTACCAACCTTAACTTATCTTGTTACTCAGACTGTAGATTATAACTAACAAGTCCTTTAGAGCTTTCTGAGTTTCAGTCTAACATCTTAATTAAATGAATATATTATTTGTACTTCTACTTTAAAACGGCTAAAGTACACTCTGACCTTCCGTCCTCTAGTTCCTGGTTGGCCTGGCCTGCCAGCGGAACCCACAAGTCCCTGGAACGAGTACAACAGTAACAACTTATCATGAAACTACTCCGAACATAACACAGACTTGCCAAGCTTTGTTTCAACAAACGTCAGAGATGAGTGGCCCTTAACACCCGTTTAACTCCTCCGTAAAAAAAAACTAAATTAAGCGAGGTAGTGTTGGCAAATATAGATAGATAAATAGCTTTATGGTGTTACGAAATAAGATAAGGTAAAAACGTTCTAAGTGCTTCCAGCTTTTAGTGGCAGCGGATAACGGAAAAACACAATTAATGATTCGGAAAAAAAGACATTACCATTTCTCCTTTCCCTCCACGCTCTCCCAGCTGTCCCGCGGCTCCTATAGCACCCTGAGAGTAATACATAAATAATTAAATAGTTCGGGACAACGGGCAATTTCCTGTATGAGACGAACCTTGAGGGAATCATGGTAGTTGTTTTCATCATCTTGGAATGGATAATTGTTTTAATGACTACAACTACCATGATTCTCCTGCAGGCACGTCTCACGAGGGAATTGCCCATTAGATATTTTCTGGAAAGTTTTTAAACTTCCAAGTGACGTAGCAAGACATCATAGTACTAGCAATATTGGCGTTACAGAGATGAACTTATGTCGTCGGTTATGCCGAAGTAAAATAAATGAAACAACAAATGCAAATCTTTTCTCACCCTTGGACCTTGTCCTCCGTCCTGACCTATTAATCCTACAGGTCCAGGCGGTCCCTACAAACAATAAGAGAGAAATGACATGACATGACTGACTGGCTGACTGGCTGGCTGACAGAATGACAGACTGACAGACTGACAGACTGACAGACTGACAGACTGACAGACTGACAGACTGACTGACTGACTGACTGTCTGACTGACAGACTGACTGACTGACAGACTGACAGACTGACAGACTGACAGACTGACAGACTGACAGACTGACAGACTGACTGACTGACTGACTGCCTGACTAACTAACAAGATTACGACAACAACAACAACAACAACAATCTTTATTTCGTGACCAGAAAAATTTTACAATAAAAATAAATACATGCAATGTGAAAAAATAACAATGAAAAACAGAGCACAACCACTTAGAAATAGCTAAGGCTAATCGAGCTAAGTGGCTGACATACATACATGTTTTCTCGAGGCTTGCGGTGAATATCTCAGGCGTGTCTTGACTTTTCGTCGAATACATACTTGCTACTCGTGTTTATACCATATCATGCCATAGAAAATACAGCCAATCAGAATACAGGAAAGCCGTTGTATACTCGACGGTACTACATCCAGCCTTCCCATCATGTACCACGCATATGTCGCATTGATTGTGTTCGCCACTGTATTTTCTATGGCATGATATAAAATAGTTATATAACGCTCTCTTGTGGTATACCATGGAATATCCCACTTGCCACTTGTGTTTTCTTGGTATACAAAGTCGCGCTAAGGCTCGTGCGTACACCGAGAAACTACAAGTGAATCGTGTGATATTCCATAACTAGTCAGATTTATACATGAAAATTAAGTTACTCTCGAATGGTATTTCACCGTATGCCACTTGAAACCATTTTGTAACTAGGATATATTTCGTGTATACATCAAGTCTTACCATATTTCCTGGTCTTCCGATGTTTCCTTGAGCACCCTGTGGACCAACGTCACCCTGAAGAAGTTTAAAGATCATTAATATCAGCATTAAAGAATCAACAATCACATTACCTTATTATTACGTAATAACTTCGCCCTAAATAACTGATTCCGGTGGGAAAATATTTTGGCAGTTCAATTGAAAAGTAAAAATATTACTACATGTTTTTCNCCTTACATTTAACTGCAAAAGAAATAATTTGATTCTATTCATTCGGTTGTGAATAGAGCTGTGTGACAACAGGGACACTTAAATCACGGAATTATCGATTTCTTGCAATTAATTAGGGCTGCTGTCACAGGGTGATGTTAGAAAATGTCACACGAGAAATAAATGTGCAACTTAAATATTGACAGAAAAAAATGGCAACTAAGCAAAGAAATAACAAACTGGTTTGGTGTGTTCGAACTCCTGACCTGTCCACCGTCCATTCCTGGAGTCCCGTCCGGTCCAGCAGATCCCTGGTAGAAGGCAGACGTCACTGTTAAAGGAACATCAGAACACAAATAAACTGAACGGGTTGCTACCTGATTCCCTCTTAATTCAATGAAAACTTACAGCTAAACTACGTTAAACTATATAGGTGACCGAAATGGAGTGATCAGTTGTCTGGTAGGCAAGGGTAGGTAAAGTCTGAATACGAGCCAAGTGGCGCATCAGGCGGGAGACTAGAACGACTAGAAGTATTTCTACTCCCCCCTGGATGGGATGCTAGTCCATCTCAAGGCTACCCCCAGCTTTAAATTCGCCGGTACCCATTTATACACCTGGTTGGAGAGAGGCAACGTGAGAGTAACATGTCTTGCCCAAGAACACAACATGGTGTCTCCGGCCAGAGCTCGAACCCGGAACACTCGATCCGGGGACGAGGGCACTAACCATGAGGCCAACGTGCCTCCGTTAGTCTGGGCCTGATATTCATTTATTAAGACCTTATGCGCCTCATGGCGCAACCAGGACGGATGATGATATTGGACTTGTTGTTGGATAAAAAAAAATGTGTATTTCCTCAAGCAGTAGCTCGGGCACGCATTTTCTAGTCATTTAGACTAAAGGGTTCGACAAGAGAGATTGATGTTCTCTTTGCGCGATTATTCAAGGAAGGACCGAATTATTAAAAAATCGGGTTGAACGGATCACAATCAACAAATGAGAGTTGATGAGGCAGATCACTTAGGCTACGTTCACACTTAGTTCCTGAGCACGGATCTCGAATACGATGCTTGCCGAGCTCTAATGTGAACACACCCTTTTTCCAAGTTTCCACAGTGCCCGTGCCCGGGTGCAAGTTCCCGACTTTGTACCCGGGCACTCGGAGTACCCAGTATCTCAACGCAACACTATTTTGTGCCATTGCCCAGACCCAGTGCTCGGCCGGGCACCAGCTGTGAACAGGCCTTAGAGAATTCCTTCATCTCATTATGCAGGTGCGTATCTCCGGTTTCTGCGACATGGAGCGCAAAGGGTCAGATATGTTTCCTAAGAATTGATTGATACCCATTTACTCACAACGATTGAAGGAGTCAAAGAGTAAAAAAATAACATAAATCAGGAAAGGGTGGAGAAAGGCGAAGCCTCTGACCAAAGGCGTGTCGAAGTGGCAGTAATCAAAACTTGAAAACTTTATCATATTTTAATGTTCTTTAAGCTACTTGTACCGGTTTACAATTATTCAACATTTGCGCTTTGGATATGAGTAAGCTATAATCATCCCCCAAATATAGAAAACTAAACTACAATTAAAGTGAAAACGCCCCATGAAATCACGCGTACGCTTACCGTATTTGTAAAGCATGGTATGATGGCTCATAACCGGTGATAGCTAAGCCAATGAAAACTCTCGAAATGCGTTATCCAACGATCCAGTTTTTAATAATTGCACTTATAAGACTGTTCAGGAGCACGTCAGGGTAACTTGTTCGTACATACAACCTATAGGCCGTGGGTTCTTTATGCCAGAAATGGTTTACCTTAAAACATTGCCTTGGTGTTTCAATTCCTGGTTTGTCATCTGTTTTAAAATTCTTCAGTTTGCACCAGTTCGGTATCGTCTTTTTAATGTTTTCTGCCCCAGTAACCGAAAAATTATTTTGAGGCCTCTTACTCTTATCGAATATCACTTAGTATATCGTAATGGTCTCTTTACAAGGGAAGCTCATAAAAATCTAATCTCACCTCATCTCCGTCATCACCACGGAAACCTTTAGCTCCCGGGGAACCGCGCCTTCCTCGATGACCGTTTCGACCCAGGATCCCATCATATCCAGAGTCACCAACAGCACCCTGAAACGTTAGGTAAACACTTGTTTGTATTAACCTTCATAACATAACTTCAGTAACCCCAGGTCTATTAATAGAGCAAAACTATTCCAAGCTAAATAACCAGCTCACCTGATATCCTTTTAATCCAGGAAGACCTTGTTTACCCGGTTTTCCTCTCTTTCCCTGTAGAAATCCAAGTATTAATTAGCTAGCTAGTTAAAGAGATCGACAAAATCCCTCGCAAATTTGAAGCAATCATGCCTCGATCGAAGTACCCAATAACTAAGGGCCTAAATCAAAGAAATGCCTAGCGATACTCCGCACAAAAGATCGGAGAATCTCCAATTTTAAGCTAAGTGTTACATTCCCGGCCCTCAAAAATAAATTCAAAACAGTCCCTTTTTTGCGGTGTGTTCTGAGATCCTGGTCTGGTATAAAAGTTATCCAAATTTCGATCTACTTTCCCCTTCCACCCACGTCCCGCTAAAGTTTTCTTTTCAATAGAGAAAAGGAATGTCTTGGAGTCTAACAATTTGTGTTAGATATTATGCCTTTATAACGAATCAAATTAAATTTTGATAACGGAAAGACATCGCTGCGAACTTACCCGAATTCCATCAAAGCCCGGTAGGCCAGGGATACCTGGAGCTCCGGGCTCGCCCTAAAATCACAGTATGTATTTATTTAGATTTAAGCAGACTGCAGTCTAGTAAATTAATTTTTATATTAATATAGGATAATCCAACAAAACCAAACACAGGTTACTGGCCCACCCTGAAAAACAGCGGTTTTCAGGTTGAAGTAAATTCTGGCTTGTACGGCACACTGGGGTGAATGAAAGGTTCCACTGACTAC